GGAAAAAATAAGAACCAAGATGCATTATGTAAAGGTACAATTCCCAATGAGAAATGTAATTGTGTTGTATACCTAAAATGTACCAATAAAAGAATTTAACAACAACAACAGAAAGAACAGTGGGATAAATGTTTTTGAAACAAGGGGTATATTTTGAGAGGGATTAATAGCAATATGACTTTTACTGTAATCTATTTTTAAAATTAAAATATTCACTATATGTTCTGATCATTCCTTGTACTTAGTGTTTCTTCATAAGCAGCTCCAAAGTAGTATCATTTATTTCATGGATTCAGCCACCAAAATAACTACCATAATGTCAGCTACACAACCATGTTCAATTCAGTTCAGAACTGTTATCAAATTGATTCATTTTCTGTATGTATAATTTGTTATATATTCAGAACAGTCACAGATGTTCTTTACTCTTCTTAAAACTTAGTACATTAGGCTTTTTTTGGATTCAAAGCAAAGCCAAATCAAAAAATTAAAAAGTAATTTTCAGCCTATTATACATGTGATTTAAGAATGTATATTTCTTCCTGGATATAATTCACTTTATCTCTAATAGTGATTGTTCCTCACCAGTTTATCATACTGTATTTGTAAATACTTTCCTTCCTTCTCAAACTGTTACTGAAGTACATGCTCAGTATTTACCTTACAAAAAAACTTTTAAATTCACTTAAACTTTTGATCTATAATATTCTCTGCCAATCAGCACTTCCTAGTTACCACTGACTATTCTATTCCAATCTGTCGTAGGTGCCAAAGCTTATACAAATCAGGCAAGCGTTCCCCTGGGATGGGACTGAAATGTGAACTCTGTAAGAGTGTGCCTTTGTTTACTTATAATCATCTTCTATTTTCACTTAGAAATAATATGATACTGACAATAGCTGATTCATCTTTACTTAATTGTTTTAGACCCACGAAACTTGCTAGGATAAGTATTTTAAAAACTCAAGTGAGCAAGGGGTGCAGACAGGCCTGTATGTACAGGATTTCACTGGCATTTTCTGATGTTATCTCACAATGAGGAAAAAATATGAACTTTGCACCTCCAGGTACTGAATTCCAAAAGACCCTGAGGTGGTAATCACAAGAGGCCACAAAACCATGCTGAGCTCCTTTCCACTTGAGGAGATGGAGTGTGCTGTGGATTAGCGCACCTCTGTCCTTCTCCACTGTGTCATTCCGGGTCACTGCAACCTCCACTTTTCAAAGCTATTGTTTTTGCTTCTCGGCATTTTCTATAAACAACAGAGAACTTCCTGTTTTCATTTCAATGATGTGAGTTTCCTGCCACATGTGAAGGCTTTTTTCAGTATGTTTTTGAAAGTCATTAAATATCTTGTATATGGAGCCATTTGTTACAGACAATGCAAATATCAGGGGGAGAAACTGCTCCTGAGCTCTGGAAATTAATTAGTGCTGTGCTGCACAAGTGACCTGATGTCCACGGAGTTAATGAGTTTGTGACTGAAAAAGGAGCATTGAACAGACATACATATACACATGCACACACGTGCACACGCAAACACACACACAAACCCACACACATGCACACACACACAAACATACACACAATGTTCACCTGACAAAAATTTAGAATTAGAAATATTACTTTCAAACCTCTTTTAAAAATAGTTAAGGCAAAATTATATGTTATTAAGACTTTTTTTATGTTTCTTACAAAGAATAATTTCAAGACTTCATAATCACTTGCTATAAATTATATATACAATTAATTGACATATATTTAATATATATATAATTAATTACATAATTGACTATAATTAATACACATATCATCCATTCTATAATAACCCATAACCTCAATCAAATAATGTAAGATAAGACATTAAATATGTAAAAATATACTAGATTCTAGCTGAATATATGTTGACTGACATAAAATTTGTGTAAATGCTAAAAGCAGAGTTCAAATTTAATTATACCTCCTTAGGAGGTTTGCTTGCTTAGCATATTAAATAGCCCTGAGAAAGCATATTTCTTAAAGCCACAAAGAAAAAAAATTCTAGCAATGGGAAATGATTTATTTACCTGGATCTTCTATAGTTAAGTTCTTTATTAACCACTGAACAATGTCTGACCCTAGAAAAAGAAAAACACAAATAGACGTGAACATTTTGCTTATACATGTCAACTTTAAGAATGCTCCACTTTTGGTACTCACAGCAGTAAAAAATTTTCTAATTTTTACAGTAATAGTTGGAGTAGTAAAAATGCCAAGTGTGAATATATTTCTTTAATAAGCCAAGGTGTACCCTAATACATTAAATAGATTTACTTAAATATATTTGAATATAAACATAGGTATAAGCTAGTGAATTATTAAATGTATTTAATAGATCTATTTACACATAAAGGTTTAACATATTAGTAATAAAGTGATTTATTTATCAAATAAATGTTTACTGAGTGTTTACCATGTTTCAGAGATAGTTTTAGCATGGACTAACCAATGCTTTATAGGATAATCCTTGTTTCCTTTCAGTTGTTCCTTTTCATCCTTGCCCTCACTGTCAAGCCGAGCCAGATTTGCTTCTAGTGTTTTAAAACTCCTGTGCATTTTAAGGGCTCTGTGTCCTTGTAGCACTCTGCTCTCAGATTGACATGCCTTCTCACTATTTTCAAGATCCCTAAGATTCAAGTTCCCTAGAATTTTTCTTGGCTTTCATCTTTATCTTCTGAGTTTACAACACTTGCCATGAACCCTCACTTGAATCTCTGTGGCCTTTTATTTCTGAGGTGGATCACACAACTGAATAATTGTTTATTTGAATAAAGCCAGAGAGGATGGTTCTCATATTCATCTTTTGCTTGATAATGTGTGATGAATAAAAAACATAAGTAAATATATTTCCACTTCCTACAGAAGAGAGTGTCTGCAGAAAACATAATGTTTGAACTAGATTTTGAAGAGTATATTGTGATGTATCAAAATAGAAATGTAGTCACTGAAGGGCCTATGAAAAAGTTAAAAAGTAGAAAATAGTACATCTTCTATATATTAAGTGCTGGTAATTTTGAAGTAATAAAATTGTTCCCATGGCATTCAGCAGGTCTAGAATATCAGTGAAGAATCTGGATTGTGCCCCTATAAGTAAGGCAGAGAAAGAGACATGCAGTGTTTTCAGCAGAAGGATAACATCAAGTGGCTTTAAGGAATCCAACTGGCATTATATGTGGCCTGCCTTAAGCTAATCAAAAGAAAGTGGAGCAGTCAACATTTCTACTAGTTGTGATCCAGGACTGCAGGGATGAGGTCTGGAACTAGGTAAATCAGAACAAAACCGGTGATTCGTTTCAGGACTTTATGGCTAATTAGATGTGAAGGTGGAAAGTAGGAGAGACTAAATGGAAAGTCAAAGATTCCAGCCTAAGGACATTGATTAATAGCATAGGGACAATATGAACAAAAGCAGGAAATTCTGACCGAGAAGCTGATTTGCTTTAGATACTAATTTGTGTTTAAATTTGTTTCTTAGTATAATACATTTCCACATAAAAGAGGAAAACTGAAACAAGAGGTTCTGGCAGAGGAGTTGATTTTCTTGAGATGTTCATTTATATTTAAATTTGATTTTTGGCATAATTTATTTCTACTTAAAAGAAGAAAACTACGTAAGTATTACTATGTATATAGTTCATAAGCTGTGTCACTGTGGCTGCATGAATGAAACTGCAGAGTGAACTGAGATCTTATCTCAACCTCTCTGGGAAGTGGCTAAAGTTGCTGACTACCAATTTAGAGATACAGCCAATGAATTATATTAACACTGGCAAAATGGTTCTAGCTGCTTGTGATAATACACTTCTAAACAAAGTTTAAAATAAATTTGGTTATCAAACTTGACAATCATGTCCTAAGAGTTATGGAAATATTCACATCCAACATCAGTTTCAATATGCATACATTTTAAAATAACTTCAAGTGTTGAATCTTACGCCTACTGTTACAGTTGCTCCTTTCACAACTGTCTTTGATTTAAATTCATTTAAGAAGATCCATTCTTCTAAGTCCCAAAGGAAGCTTTACTAAGCAGCCCTAAGGGTAAACAGGGAACTAGCCTATTCTCAGTCAAGTGCTGGGGTTGGAGGTAGCTAGGTGGTTAATAGCAGAGCCATGCTTACCATGCAGGAGGTCCTGAGTTTCATTCCAGCACCAAAAAGTAAATAAAATAAAATAGTAAAGTAAAATAAAATAAAAGCATGCATGTATTACAGTGTATTGTGTAATTGTGTATATCTTTATATTTTAAGTAAACCTGAGGGATGGTCACCCTTTTAAAAATGAAAAAAGATGACTCATATTTTCAAATATACTTGTAATAAAGGCTTAAGAAATACAAAATCAGTCCCAGGTATCCAAATCATATGTACCATCTTCTGGGCACCTTGATTAGCTTTCTTATAAAAGAATCTAATTAGAGAATACATGTGAGCAGCCACTGGAAAATTCTCATTCTTTTGAAGACAGCTAAACATTAATCCAAATACTTTTAATTTTTTAGTTGTGAAAAAGATTTAAAATTGCTTTTAGAGAAAGTTTTTTAAAAATGTTTTCATTTCTTCCTCCTTTTCTTCCTTATTTCTTTTTTCCTGAGCAAAAATAAATATAAAGATGCCTAATTTGAAACTACATTAATTACAGGCGTAAAAATTTTTCTTACCCTATTTTTGCATATTTCCATCACAGGTGTATTCTCAGTTCACCTTTGAAAGAATCAATTTAATGAGACTTGACCAACTGTCAAGCACATGGTAAAGTTCTTTGATTATTGTGCTATCATGCCAAGAAATTTATAGTTTTAAACTGTGACATTATGGAATTTTTTGTTGTGAAATGCATATCCAAAGTCATCTTATTCACCTGTTCTGCACATTCACTCCCTGAGGAGACAGAGATCTGGAAAGAGCAAAAAGATTCAGTATCCTAAGGGAATCAGAATATTGCCGAGAACATGCTACCATAGGGCCACCTTGAGAAGTGGATTCAAATGTAAAATGCAGCCTTGCAGCCAGGATAGGTATAGAATGGAACATCACCTTTCCAGCAATTTCCAGGTAAACATATGTTTAATAAATAAATAAATGAGTAGCTATCCTAAGATTTTTCATGTTTAAATATGAATGCTGAGTTTTTCTATCTTTATTCTGAAGAACTAAAGGGAACATGCAGTTTTTTGACCCTTCACTTTGACTACAGCCTACGGCTAGTTTTGCCCTGATTAGTGTCATTCTCCTTTTTTGAGTTTTTAGGGGCATATGTTACTGTTAGAGTTACAAAGCTATGTATTCTCTCTACTTAGCAGAAGCGGCATAGGCTATATGATTAAATAATCCTAGTAGTATGTGATTTTATATTAAACAAAATAAGCAAAGTTCCTCCTCACAGTAATGCTCACAGTTTTCCACATGCCTTATTGTTTTTGTCTTCTATGATTTTGGTAATCTTTCTCCATCCTCATCTCTTTTCCCCATGGCTAATCCCAACTGACATCCAATTTAGACATTAGCTACCCTAGAAAGCCTATTCTTTCCTCTGTGAAGCCACTTTATTAAGTAAAGTGTTTCTCCTCTTTGTCCTGTAAACATTCTCATAATTCATCTCATTTCACAATGGTTTCATCATCCTCTCTTTATGTTTTAGCTCTCTTTTGCTTTGTCCCTAGGAAGCAGGAAATATATGTTGTTCATCTTTGAATCTCAAACACCCAGACTAGTGCCTGACATTTACAATGAAATCAGAAAATGTTGAAAGAATTGATGTATGAACACTGAGACTCTCCTTCCCAAGTCCTACTTTTGGAGAGTTTACCAAAGGATGGCATGCCTTCCACAAAGAATATTCTATCAGTATGGCATTTTCAGCTATTATTGTAATCTTTCATAGAAGTACTCACTTGCCTTTTCTAGGGCTAGCTCATAACTATAACAAAGAGATCAACGATAGTTGGGCATCAATATTGTTTCCCCTCCCATGCTATGGACTACCTGGTAAAACCCTTCCCCATCCTGCCCTAAGGCAGGAACAAGGCTGCACCAGGCTCTCTCTTGTCTGACACTTCTGTTCCTGTCCAAGTCCCTCCACAGATGGGTGGTGTACCTCCTCAGGCTAAGTGTCAACTAAAGCTATGCACATGCTGGACTGAATTTGAGGTTCATAGCAAACATTAAGTATTCATTAAAAAGGAAAACACTGCAAAAACTTTTGTAAATATGATAAAGGAGGACTTCATAAGCCAGCCAAAATGTTACAAATTTGATTTGTATCCTTTACAAAAACAACTTTTCATAACTTCTGCTAACATCATTAATGAAAATGTTGGCTTTTAATTATAATAAAAGGGGCTCATATTATTCCTATGGCAGAGACTGATCTTTGCAATGTTTCTCCTTAAGGAAAATAAATAGGCCATTTGCACTGCCTGCACACTCTTGATGCTTCAGGACCACAAAGACACAATGATGGCCATTTGATTATACTTTTATTTAAAGAATACCATAAATAGCCCATATTTTTGATAGAATAACTTCTTAAAATCTCTTGCAAAATAAAAGATATATCTCTAGAAAATATTTTACAATACTACTCTTAGTTTCTAGAAATGATCATCACGTAGCATGTAAGAAACACTTGTGCAATTTCTGAGGAAGTCTGGCTATGGACCTGCACTTTTAGTTACAAGAAGAAAAGACTGGAGCAAGGCAGATTTATTCATCCATGAGTCCTGAGAGAGGAAAGCTGTCTTACGCATCCATTCCTCCAATTCTCTTCCTCAACACAGATTGTCACTAAACGTTTATTGGCGATATGACTCAATGTTTATAGGCATATACTGTATGTATAAAGGACCCAAAATGCCCAAAATAATCAGCTCTAGCTATGAGTAGCATTTCATGACAACCAGTGTATCTCTAATAGTCATTTTGAAAATTCTTCATGCAAAAACAACTTTAACTGAATTAATTTTTAAAAGCTGAAAAAAGTCTCTAAGATTTGAGAATTAGAAGGATTTAAAAAAATCTAACCTATAATACTTTTGAAAAGTTAAAATAAGAATTTTCTTTCAATCTTTAAAGTATTT